TGTCGGCGCTGGGAGAGCGGAGATGCTTCAGGATACTGGAGCACGTCGAGTCATGTTCGTAAGCAGCTCGGATCTCGTCGCGAAGTGGCATTACCGGGGAGACGCTCGTCAGGCTGACGCCTGACGCCTCACACGTGGCACACTCGTCTACATCGTCTTCATCCAGTAAAGCTTGTCGACCCAATGCACCGCGTGGGTCGTAGTCGGGACGCCGAGACAAAGCGTCGGCGAGAATGTTGTTCTTGCCGGGTTTGTAGTGGACAACGAAGTTGTACTCCGAGAAGAACGAAAGCCAGCGGGCCATCCGCTGGGAGAGATGAGGACTCTTCATCGCTGTCCGCAGCGATGCATGATCGGTGTACACCGCGAACGTATCCTCACCCAACAAGTACACTCTGAACTTGATCAGAGCGTAGCGCATCGCAAGGAGCTCCTTGTCGTGAACAGGGTAGTTGCGCTCCGCCGGCTTCATCTGCCTGGACTAGTAGCTTACGACACGCTCTCGACCTTCTTCATCGAATTGCATCAGCGCACAGCCGATGGCGAAATCGCTCGCGTCGCAGACGACGTGAAAAGGCTTCGAGTCATCCGGGAGCGCGAGGATTGGGGCCTCGGCAAGACTCTTCTTCACCGAGTCGAAGGCGGCTTGATGTGCGGAAGTCCACGACCACGACACATCTTTCTTCAACAACGAAGAGAGCGGCTGGATCAATCCGGCGTAATTCTTCGTGTACTTGTGGAGATAATTTGCGAGACCCAGCCACTGACGCAGTTCAGTGGGATTCTGTGGCGTAGTCCACGCACATATCGACGACACTTTCTCGGGGTCGGCGCGGACGCCGTTCTTGCTCACAAAGCAGCCAAGCACCGGAATCTCCGGCGCGCAGAATATACACTTCTTCAAGTTGGCATACAGCTTGTTTTCGCGCATCACTTGGAAGACTTGCCTCAGATGCTTCAAGTGGACTTCAAGCGCGCTGAGGCCTCCCTCAGCGCGACTGTGTACGAAGATGTCATCGAAATAACTCGGTGCGAAGTCGCGGAGAGGGCGCAGCACATGGGATACCATGCGATTGAACGTGGCGGGAGCATTCTTCAACCCTTGCGGCATAACAAGCCACTCCCAGAGCATACCACTGGGAGTGCTTACCGCTGTGAGCGGTATATCGCTCAGCCTCATGAGGATTTGGTAGAACCCATCGGTCAAGTCGATGGCGCTGAAGACCTCACTACCCGACATTGCGTCGAGCACCATGTCCTTCCGAGGAATCGGCGTCTGGGCAGGGATGGTAGCGTCGTTTAGCTTGTTGAAGGCATAGACGATGCGCCATCCGCCCGTGGCTTTCTTCACACAGAAGGTCGGACTGGAGTGCGGCGATGTGCTCTCACGCACATGACCCGCCTTGCGGCGGCTCTCGAAGAAGTCATCGATAGCTTGGCCCTGATCTCGCGGGAGCGGCCACTGCCGCGTCACACAATACTTCGAGCCGGGCACGAGATCAATCTCGTGGCGAATTCCTCGGTCAGCTGGCAACTCAGCTGGGATCTTATCCTGAAATACATCTTCATATTCGCGGGCGGTCTCGTAGACTGGATTGCCGGATTCGCGTAGCGCGTCCCAAGACTGCGCTGCGAAGCGCTCCTCGCGGGCCGACTTCGGCTCAGCGCTCTTTGAGCGCGAGGGAGCGTCGCCGTCACTGACTGCATTCACTTCGAGCGACGCCGAATCGGCGTCGGTGATCAGGCAACCCTGTTCGATTTCATCGTCCTTGAGGCCGCGAAGGAAGTTCTTCCAGGAGAGACCTGGAAGTCGAGTGATCGACCCCTGCCTCGCCAGGCGGGTTTGCAAGCTCGAGTGTTCGTCGGCGGCCAGAGGTACCTTCCACATACTCAAGCACGCAGACCGACTCCGTCGGTGAGCTGTCACTTGGTACGGGCTCTCGGCGAGGTTTCAGCCGACGCCGCTTCGACTTCCTCTTTCGCCACCTCGAGTGCGAACTCGAGGATGATGAGTCGCTCTCGCTGGACGAGATGTCACCCCCCTCTAGCGGGAGCCCCTGCTCAACCGCGGTAGTGTTCAGCGGGAGCGCCAACTGCTCGACCACCGGCTCAATTGACGGGAGCCCCTGCTCGACCGCCATCTCGTTCGTCTGCGGGAGCCCCTGCTCGACCGCCAGTTGGTCTTCATCCCCGCGGCGCCGCGGGGACTCGTCAGTTAACAGCACTGCGCAAGCCGTGCCGAGAGGGCCATCGCTCACTCTGTGCACAACGTGCGTCGTGGATGACCGGTCCACAACGTGCGTCGTGGATGACCGGTCCACGACGGTGACGTGAGGCCAATCCTTCTGGGCGACCAGGAGGTGCGTGAACACCTCGCTCACATCATAATCACTGCGGCGCTTGACCGACCGGGCCAACCAGTCAATCTCTGGCTGATAGCGCGTCAGCCACGGCATACCCAGGATGCAGTCAAACGCGTAATTCATCTCAATGACGAGGAAGTCGTCGTTGCTTCGGAAACCGTCGAACGTGTACGGAAGGGTAATCTCGCGCCGCGCTACGCGGCGTGACTTCCCATCGGCCAACTTGACAGCGACCTCCCCTCTACCTTTGCGGACAGTGATGTCCGACGGGAGTACCGACAAGCACGACGCGCGGAAGAAGTTGTTGGTCGCTCCTGAATCAAGGAGCGCTCGCAGTGGTCGCCGGGCACCGGCGACATGAAGACTGACAATGATCAATCTTGAATCGCTCGGCGTGGTGGTGGCATGAAAGTGTGCATGCAGCACAGGAGGGCTAGGAGGTTGGGTTGCCACCGGGGGACCCGGACCTCCATTCCAGCCAGTAGGGCGCCCCGCACCTACTGACCCTGACCGTTTTTTGGCTGGTCAGAACTCACGGGCTCGGCATCGACATGCGCAAGCACTGGAGCTGGCGCGCGGCACTCCGCCGCGCGATGACCGACCTTCCGACAGCGGAAGCAGGTGAGAGAACGATTGTTCCGAGCACCGCTTCGACGCACTACATGACGCTGACGATTGCTCGTCGCATCGATAGCGTCGATGTCCATGGGCTCGGGCGCAGAATCCCGAGCAGAAGCAGGTAGCGCGTGAGCGTATGACGCCGCAACCACGTAGTCCTCGCGTAGGGCGAGGGCGAATGCCTCTTCGAGCGTAGAGGGGTCCGATCTTGTAAGGCAGTAGCGCGTCATGCCTTCGCGCATACCGAACACGAATACATGAACCTGAGAGGCCATATCGATCGGCTTAGACACGATGCACGACGCGAGGTGTCGTGTCTTCTGGACGTAGTCGCGCATAGTCATCGTGCCTTGGCGAAGGGCGAAGAAGTCTGCCCGAATTCGGGATTCATCTTGCGGCGGCTCGAACGCGAGCCGAAGGTCACTCTGGAGGGTATCCAGAGTGGGGAAGACGTTGGGATCGACAGCCAACTTGCCGAGAGCCCATTCCTTGGCTTTCCCAGACAGCCGCGAGAGGAGGAAATGGACCTTCGCGGAAGGCGCCTCGATCAACCTCGAGGCGATGGCGATGGCGATTTCTCGAAACCAGCGATTCAGCGGAAGTCGATCTTCTCCGGCACTGGAGTAGGTGGACGTCTCTAGCTTCACGACGTCATTCGTGGAGATACGCGAGGGAGTTGACACTCGCCGATTCGCATCGGCGAGCTCGCGTTCCATGAATTCTTGTGCCGCAACGCGCTGCTCGTCGGGCGTCGCTGAGCGCAGCAGCGACGTGACGACGGCTTCTCCGGACACTGCCGCAAGGCGGTGGAGAGCTTCCCACTCGATCCGAGTGAGATGGAGACGGCAGGGTGGTCGAGGTCTTGGCTCATGTCGAACTTGGTCGTGGAAGGACTACAAAGTGCTACCAGGTGTAGCGGGCCAGATCCACTTTTACTCCGTTACTTGCTTACACTAGTGTTGAGGAAGCTCGCAATAGGACGACTGAGTCTTAGGTTTAAGGAAAAATCAACTCTGACTTTATTTTAGGACCAAGGCCGCAGCCCTGGCCACTCAAATACACGTCATAGTCCAATTGGCTAATAATGGGTATGGCTCCCCATATATCAGCCAATGGCATGACAGCATTTCAGCACACGCTAGTCGTGTGCTGATGCACCTACTTATTTAAAGACAATCTTACCTACTTTATGATAATGGAGGGGGCCCAATTACACTTTCTTGTCGTCACAGCGATGGACAAAGGTCCCTGGGACGGATGACACGGGCTATGGCAATACCGCAACGTATGCGAAGGACAGTGAAGCAAAGGGAGGGGGCGTCATCGGTAACAGTGTACCCAAGGACGTGCTGACGAGCGGTTCGACTGAGTAGGGATACGGTACGGGTGACAGTATGGGTGAGGTGAGTTTGGTCAGTCGTGAATTTTACCTGGAAACCCCGAGTTGACTTAATACATTTGGCTTTGTATTACTTATATTGCTACTTTGTCGACTTGGACTACTACGTTTTGCCCCGTCCGTCTTGAGCTTGCTACCGTTGATCAGCGCAAGCGTCCCGTTCCAGATCGACTCGCGACACTTGTTCCAATCGCTGTATTTAATCTGGATTTAAAATCCAGAGAAAACTGCAACCGTTTGCGGTTTCCATCTCTATCGGCTTTGTCTGTGTCACAATGAAATACTAGAACAAATACTCGTATGTTTTAAAGCCTGTTATCACTATTAATACTGCTGTCTTATAACCTGGTCGAAAGGGTTAGCACTCAACGAAGAGGATAAGGTGTTTTGAAACGTATTTAAGTGGGAAAATATTGTAGTACCCGTATACGTTTTATATTGCTTAACCCTCTGAGTCAAAATTTAAACAATTAAGTCAGCTTTTGAAGAGCTGAGCTACTTATGATCAAAATGTGTACTATTACAATCAAAAATATCATATGATATTTGCTGGTTACCATTCTACCATTCTTTGCACAAGTGGAAAAGAGTGGAAAAGATCTCGCTAACCATTTTCAAGAATGAGCAGGCAGAGTGCGCTGCATCTTACCGTGGGGGTTGGCGCGGCCGCGGCACTGTACATAGTGCGTCTTCGTCGCGCAGCCTACTCGAAGCTGGCGCGGAGTGTGAGACCACCCGTTCTAGAAAAGCGTCCCAAGATGGTCCCTTTTGGCGCTGTCACGGGCCAGAATCGCGGCTCGAACCCAATGAAGCCTATCTTGTATCTGGAAGACCCGTACTTTTACGTCCGCGATGACTCGCGCAAGAACGAGGAGGTGCTAGAACATCTCCGTAAGGAGAATGAGTATACGGACGTCAAGACGAACCACCTAGCTGACGTGCGCTCCAACATCTACGACGAGTTGCTGTCGCACGTCCAGGAGACAGACGAAGATTACCCGTACCCGCATGGGCCTTACTTGTACTACAACCGAACGGTTAAGGGAAGTAGCTACGCATACCATTGCCGTAAGGCCAAGGTGGAGAACGCACCGGAAGAGTTGCTGCTGGATGAAAACGCGATCGCCGAGGGACACAATCATTGCCAAGTGGCAAGTGTATCCCCCAGTCCCGACCACCGCTATATAGCGTACATGGTGGACTTTAGTGGCTACGAAACGTACACAGGTTTTGTGGAGGATCTTCAGACTGGAGAGTTACTGCCGGACCGGATCGAGAATATTTCGAGCTTGCGCTGGGGACAAGATGCCTCTGTTCTCTATTACGCCACCCAGGACGAGGCTCACCGTCAGAATAAGCTGTGGCGCCACAACATGGGCAGCAATGGCGCAGATGAACTTCTTTACACGGAAGACGATGAAATCTACAGCGCCTACTTCCAGAAAGCTCGCAGTGGGAAGTATATGTTTTTGTTTTCATCCAGCAGTGAAACCAGTGAGGTGTCTTTCATAGATTTGGATAGCCCGTCTAAGCCACCTCAAGTGATCTCGAAGCGACAAAAGGGATTGATCTACTCCGTAGACCACTTTGCCGACAGCTTCTACATCGTGACGAACAAGGACAAAGCTACCAATTTCAAGCTGATGAAAGCGCCTGTTACATCGCCTTCGCCTAAATACTGGGTAGACGTGTTCCCCTACGATGAAAACATCAAGGTGGATGACGTCGACTGCTTCAAGGAGTTTATGGTAATGGAGGGTCGACAGGGGGGCTACTCGCAGATTTGGATCATTATGCCCGAGGGGGGCGGCAAGCATGCTAGCCATCAGATCACCTTTAAGGAATCCAGCTACACTGTTTCTGGCTCTGTCAACCGTGACTTTGACACAGACAAGTATCGCTTCGTTTACTCGTCGATGACTACCCCTTGGACAACATTTGACTACGACATCAACACCCGAGAGTCTAAGCTGTTAAAGGAGAAGCCTGTACCGAACTATGACCGCTCTTTTTACAAAACTGAGCGCCTGGAAGCAAAGGCAAGCGACGGGACAATGGTACCAATTTCACTAGTGTACCGTTCTGACCTACGCTCGCAAAATCGCCAGCCACTGCACCTGTACGGTTACGGCTCGTACGAAATCCCGATCGATCCGAGCTTCGTCTCTTCCATCCTGCCGCTGCTGGACCGCGGTGTGATTTACGCGATCGCACATATCCGAGGCGGTGGTGAAATGGGCCGAACTTGGTACGAGGACGCGAAGTACAAGAAGAAAATTAACACCTTCACGGACTTTATCAGCTGCGCTGAGCATCTGGTTAACGCTGGATATACGAGTCCCAGCAAGATGACTTGCGAAGGCCGCAGCGCTGGTGGATTGCTTATGGGCGCCGTGTTGAATATGCGCCCAGACCTTTTCACTGCTGCCATCGCCGGTGTGCCATTCGTGGATGTGATGAATACTATGAGTGACGCCTCCATTCCGCTGACGACTGGAGAATGGGAGGAGTGGGGAAACCCGAATGAAAAAGCGTATTTTGAGTACATGCTCAGCTACTCACCCTATGAAAATGTGAAGCAGCAAGCGTACCCGAACATTTTGGTCACGAGTGGGCTGTTCGATCCACGTGTGGCATACTGGGAGCCCACAAAATGGGTCGCAAAGCTGCGTGATATGAAGAGTGATCAAAACGAGGTACTATTGAAGATGGACTTATCATCGGGTCATTTCAGTGCTAGTGACAGGTACCACTACCTCAAGGAAAAGGCGTTCGACATGGCTTACTTGCTCGATCAACTGAAGGCGATCAAGGAGGATGACATGAAGGCGCCCAAACCTTCTGCGAAACTGTAAGAAATGAGAAGAGGACAACCCAGAAGCCGTACACAACCGAGGCAAGGCAGATTTTTTTACGATCAAAATGCGAGTTTTGTAATTCCATTAACGAACGAGTTGTGCTTCCTACTTCTTGCGCTTCCGACTGTCCCCTTCCTGAAGGCTGTTATCGACTTCTGCTGCACTTTTCGCCTTAGCAAATAGTTCCACTTCTCTACGAAAAGCCTTCCTCTCCTTACGCTGTGCCTGAAGAATCGTCTTGGAGCACCCGTATGCAGCTTGCGATAAGTTAAATCTTGAAAGGTACAATTGCTGTATCGCCAGGTCTTCTGAGAGTGGCGAGCACAGCTCGCTCTTCAGCACTGTGAACACCTTTCCAGTCGACACACAAACCTGAATCGAATCCGACAGGAAATACTGAAGGATAATCCCGCGTTGATGTCCCATAGGTTTCACTTCTGGTCGGTATGTCTTCACAATGTTTCCCACTGCGAACCTAAGCGTGTCCACCAAATCCCGAAATTGAATAAAAGTCTGACTTTGTTTTGTTGCAACAAGTGGCGACCACATTTGCCGTGGTCGTATTGCGGGATCCTCGCACGTTTTCCACGGAATAACAAAGTCGCCCACGCTACTTACACTCAGAGCTGGCTCGATGAAGTCCGGTATGGTTGCCTGGTAGCTGACGCCGACATTGGGTTTGGGGCGGCCCAGTCCGCTTCGGATGGCTTCGTTCTCAACAACCTCCAGCGCCTTTTTGATGTTGCTCCGGTTCGGATAGTACTTGTAGCGACACACATAAAACATCTTGCCTTTTTCGCGATACCCACGCTTGATCTCGTCCTGAATGTCATTATACTCCTCAGGAGACACAACCTGACACACCTCAATCACAGCGTCGATCGAATTTCTATCCTTGTGTGGCGATAGAAACACCTCGTTTTCCAGGACGCCACCTTTGATCAAGGCCTTGACCTCACCCTTGACGTCGTAAGGCTTGTAGTACCACTGCGCCATAAAGGTGGATACAGCTCGGTCATGCCGCTGTGAGGTCTGAACTGAGCTCACTAGTGCGACGTAGGGATCATCCGGGTCTCCCGAATCCAGCATGACGCAGTCGCCAACTTGGACGTGAACGTAGTCACCTCCCGATTCGCTGTCGTCCGACTCGCCATCCTTTTGACTTTTCTTCGCTGGGGTCTTCCCATTACTCTTCCTTCCCTTGCTAGTCTTCGGGGCAAGGGTCGGGGTTATCTTTGCCTTGCTGGCACCGCGCGTCCTAGGGCCGTCGGTCTCCAGCTCCGAGCCGACTGCTGTCTGTCGAACTCGCACGCGCGTTATCCTCTTGGGAGAAGATTCCTCGTCACTGCTTGTTGTGTCCCCGCTTTTTGCATTCTTAAATTCCTCGTCCGTCGAGCTTTGCTGTTGCTCGTCCACAGGCTTATGGGACTCCTCCGAGCTGCCTGTGCGCTCCATTGTTCCTGTCACCATACTTGGCATCAGATTCAAAACGCCTCCGGCGCAAAGCTACCTGCAGGATTCTAGTCCAACACTGCGCAAAGACGATTCCGGACTGAAGCTCCCCCTTCGTCCTCGGTGCCAGCCAGCTCTGGCTGTCGCGCTCTCTTTTTCTATTGTGCCGCCTAAAGAAAAAAGTGTCCTGTCATTTTTTAGCCAATCACAGGGGGCTTGTTTTATTCATTTCTAAGAACAGCATGTTTTATTCTTCACAAGAAGGGGTGTGGACACGGATAGCCAATCGAAAGCCGGCTAGACCTTCAGCGATCTTTAGTGAGACCAAGTCTAACTGCCACGATCTAAATATCGGGAGGGAGGTGCACCACACAATTGATTTAAACGTTCGAGCAAAAAAAGAGCTGATTCGAGAACATTCCACGTGTCAGCTCTAGCACTCAGTCAGCGGGGCAAGCTCTGCTCTTGGTTGAAGGTATGGATCAGTGGCCCATCGGTCATTGGTTAGGTGTATTTTACAATTGAGTTAATCGGCTTGTCAGACCACCAGGGTAAGTTGCTGGAGCTGCGAATCCAGCGGGGCTATTGCAATTAGAAAAGAGGTAAAGTTTATCCGCCACCGGGGTATGTGACGGAGACGACTCGAATTTGGCCAAAGCTAGCAGTAAATTAGATATCCTGGCTCAGCTGCTGTTTATATCTTCTGCAGGTAAAGCCAGCAAACAACGGGATAAATTCAAGTAGCGAGGTAAGGCGCGAGCTGAAAGCAATACGAAGAAAAGACATACAGTCGACTATAGGCCAAAATTAAGTGCCTCAACATTCGACAAAAGAAATATAGCATAATAGGAATGAGAGAATCAAACGGCAAGCGATCAGAACTCGGGTGGAGGGAAAGGTCCCACGATAAGGCAAGCATCATGGCAGTCTATTTGAAGACGGTTTTGAATAGTAAGTATTGAGGGTACCGGTTTCATGCGGTAAGGACCCATCAACCGGTAGACAAACCGGTCGATCACGATCCCGCGATAATTCGGTACGCTGATTAGACGAGTAGGATGATTGGACGAGTGCAGAGTGTTGGTGTTTGGATGCACCAATTGATTGGATGACCTAGGTAGTGAGGACTGTGTGAGCTCCGATAAATCAATCACTTCGGAATCTTCCTTCTTCCCCTCAAGTGTCTTCGCTCCGGTCTACTCCCCGAGTGGTGACTCTTCCCTTCGCTCCGTACAAGCCCAACGTTGCCTAAACCCCGTGACCTCTATCAGGTTATGAGCCCAAGTAACATGTCCTCTGCGCAAGACGTTTCAACTAAGGTCTCCATCGACAAGCTCAGCGGTGACAACTACGCGACGTGGAGCCGCTACATGCGTGGTGTGTTCCTGACCAAGTCAGTATGGCATGTCGTGAACCGAGAGACGACTCCAAGCTTCACGGACCCTCGTGCGAAGGACGAATATGTCAAGTCGAGCAACATCGCGTTCGGATTGATGCTGCTCCACATGGATGCGGACTACCACCACGTGGTCGACAGCTGCGAGGAAGCGTGGACCGCGTGGGCGCGCTTGAAGACGTTGTACGGTGGATCGCAGAAGGCTGGTCGTATTTACCTGAAGCGACAGCTCTTCAGCATGGAAATGTCTGAAGGCGCGAATGTATTGCATCACTGCAATGAAGTTCTCAACATCAGCGCCAAGCTTAGTAGCATTGGCGCTAAGATGGAGGACGAGGACGTTGCGATCTGCTTGTTGCGCAGTCTCCATAAGAGCTACGAGAACGTCGTGCTTCACCTGGAGATGAGTACTGCTGAGCTGAAGACGCAAGACGTTGTGAAGGTGCTCACGAACGAGCATATCAAGCGACAAGGCGAGAAGACCTCTGCGGTGAAGACTGAAGACGCGGCGAAGGCGTTCAGTACCGAGCGGGGGTCTCGCCAGTGTACTTACTGCGGAAAATTGGGGCACGTGATTGAGAAGTGCTGGACCAAGCAGAAGGATGAGAATCGAGGAGGCTGACGCGGGGCCAACAATGTCCAGTTGCGAAACGACGACTACGACCACGGCTATGATCGCGTGGCATTTGCGGTTTCGTTGGAAAGTGGTGTTTTGACGGGCAAGAGTATGTCCGGGCTGTGGGCAGTCGACAGCGGTGCGACACACCATATCTGCAATGACAAAATTAAGTTTGTCATGCTGAACGAGCGAGAGGAAGGCGAGCTAAAGGTCGCTGACGGCACTAACGTTGCAATCAAGGGTGTGGGGACCATCATCGAGCGCGTGGTTCTGCTCAACGGCGATGAGCGCGAGATTAAGATCAACAACGCGCTCTACGTGCTGAAGATGAAGAAGAACTTGCTATCAGTGCCGCCGATCAACAAAAGCGGCAAATTTCAAGTGGTGTTCGACGGTGAAACCATGAACGTTGCGCACAAGGATTCGAAGGAAGTGGTGGCTACAGCAGATCTCGTAGACGGTCTTTACTGGCTGCGCACACCACTATGCTGGATAAACGCAGTGACTTCGAAGGCGAACGTCGACTTGCACGCGCGCATGGGCCATGCTCCTATCGACGTGCTACGCAAGATGGTCGACAGCGGCATGATCAAGGATGCCAAGGCACCTTTGAAGTCAAGTGAGCAAAGTGTCTGTCGCGGGTGTCAGCAAGAGAAAATGGTCCAGAAGCGGTTTCCCAGTAACCGCGACAAACGCAGTTACGACACGTTCGAGTTGCTTCATTTCAACATCTGCGGCCCCATGGAAGAAGAATCATTGGGTGGTACCAAGTACTTGCTGCTCATCATTGACGAAGACAGTGGATGCATGAAGGGTTTCTGCTTACGAGCCAAGTCGGACGCTGAAGAATTCCTCAAGAGCTATATTACGAAGGTACAGACGCAATTCGGCATGCGGGTCAAGTTCGTACGCCATGACGGAGCTCGTGAGTTCGCGACAAACTCACTCAAGGTGTTCTACGCAGATTGATACATCGAACAGCAGACCACGGTTCCGTACGCGCACCAGACGAACAGTACTGCAGAACGAGCTATCAGGACTATCGTCACGATTGGTCGCAGCATGTTGCACCATGCCAAGTTAAAGAAGTGTTTCTGGGGCGAAGCGGCGATGGCCGCTATCTACGCTAAGAACCGTCTACCATCACCCAAGACCGAAAGCAAGCCTCCATATGCGATCGTGTACAAGTTCAAGCCAAGTGTGAAGCACATGCGTGTTTGGTTGTCGGACGTACGTCCTAACGCCAAGGGAAAAGAGACTCAAGTGGGACCTTAAGGCTCGAGAAGGGCTGTTCATGGGCTATGAAGAAGTGTCAAAGGCGTATCGAGTTTATGACATCGAGGCGGGGCAGGTGGTGATTAGTCGCGATGTCAGTTTCGACGAATCAAACTTTGGGTTTTCAATGGCTAGTCCAAACGACGACGACGCAGATTCTGACCTCGACCTCGACTCTCTCAGTATTAACGATACCGAAACTGCGGGCCCAACGGAATTCAAGTAGGCGGGGAAACGCAAGTCCCGCACAAGTAACGTTCACGGCATGACTACGAGATCGCGCGCGGCACAGCAGGCTGCCGGTTTGGAGGAAGCTAGTGCTCGAGAAACCACGTTTGAGCGTCAAACAAAGCGCCGATCAGGTGTGCGAAATGACTGTGATGTGGCCGATGAAGAAGAAAAAGATGTCGAGGATCAAGACGACGATGACGCAACTCCGCCTGTATTTTGATGAGCATGTGCCAACGCAGTGGAAGCTGGTGATTTAGCTGAACCGGTAACGTTCCAAGAAGCGGTAAACGGGCCTGATCAAGTGCATTGGCGCAAGGCCATCCGTGCCGAACTTAAGTCGATGCGACTTCGCGGTGTGTTCCGAGCTGCCAAGCTATCGAACGGTCAACGGGCCATCGGTACGAAGTGGGTGTTTAAGATCAAACGCAAAGCGGATGGTTCAATCGAGAAGTACAAGGCGCGCCTTGTAGCGAAAGGCTTCAAGCAGAAGTCTGGCATTGACTACACCGAAACGTTTTCGCCCGTGGTGAAGTATGTGACGCTGCGCATGATCATTGCTTTGGTCGTGTACCTCGGCTGGCCCCTGGACCAGCTGGACGTGGTAACAGCATTCCTGTGTGGCATAATGAAAGAGGTGGTGTTCTGTATGGTGACAGAAGGTGTCGAACTTGATGATGACTTCGACTGCCTGGAGCTGGTGAAGGCGATCTACGGTCTCAAGCAAGCATCACGCGTGTGGAACGAGACCTTCGATGACTACGTGTGCTCCATCGGCTTTCAAGTTTCAGCATACGACCCGTGTCTCTACATCAAGATTGTGGCTGGTCACTGTGTGCTTCTGCTGGTCTACGTAGACGACGTTTTGGTGACTGGTAGCTCGGCCGAGCTCATTGCAGCCACCAAGAGCGATCTCAAGAAGCGCTTCGAGATGACCGACAGTGGCAAGTGTGCGTTCGTACTGGGAATCGAATTGGTGTACAACGCTGACGGGAGCGTGACGATGTGCCAGCGCCGATATGTCGACGACATCCTTAAGAGTTTTGGTATGGATGAGTGCAAGGCGGTGGTGAGTCCAGCTGATTTGAGCTCTCGACTAGTCCCAAGCAGTGCATCGACCAAGGTGAACGCTCCGTTCCGCGAGGCGGTAGGTGCACTCATGCACTTGATGACCGCGACACGACCGGACATTGCCTTTGCCGTGGATTACGTTTCTCGCTTCATGGAGAATTCACAAGTCGAGCACTGGGCTGCTGTAAAGCGCATCTTTCGCTATCTACAAGGAGCTAAGTCGCATGGAATCTGCTTCAAGCCTGGTGACAAAGTGGATTTCCGCGGGTACTCTGACGCAGACTGGGCTGGTGACCACTCCGATCGCAAGTCAGCTTCGGGCTACACGTTTCTTTTGATGAGCGCACCCGTGAGTTGGGGGAGCAAAAAGCAGTCAAGTGTGTCGTTGTCAACAAACGAGGCAGAAGACATCGCGCTAAGTTTAGCTATTCAAGAAGCCAAGTGGGTTCACCGCATACTTTGCGAGATTTTGACGGCAGCAGGGGAATCGGGACCAGAGCTCAAGATCCTCGAAGACAACCAGTCATGCATCAAAATGACCAAGAAACCAGT